CTTCAAATTCGAACGTCTTCTATTCCAAAAATGGGTCTCAAACTAAAACTGAAAATTCAAAGCATAGCTTTTTCGGTTAGAAGTTTATATGTAGTACTTCCACTATATTTCATCCATTTGGCATCTTTTCTCATCCAATTGATGTCCAGCACTCTCAAATCTTCGTCGTGAGATCGACACGACTTTTTAGTAATTGCACTTGAATCCCAAACTTTGATTGTGCTTTATTTTAGTAGTTTTTCGCTTGTTTTTTTTCGAATTTTCATCATGTTCATCATTATTGTCCTGCAAAACACAAATTATAACGAATTAAACTATATTTCACATATTTATTAACAATTATCCATGTTTGGACCTACAATAAGTGTGTAAAAATGCACTTATCAACTCCNNTGTGTAAAAATGCACTTATCAACTACCCCAAACTTGAACTATTGTTTGTCCTCAAACAACTATAACTTAATTCCACATAAAACACGGTTAGATAACTTACCGCATCTCAGGATTGGAACTTAGTACTAAACAAAATGAATAACTACAACAGTGTATAATCAAATCAATCTCCACATGTTATATACATAATTTGACGTGTATGTGTGTGAACACTCATGCCAACATATTAAGATCATGATTAGTTCAACACCCAACCCAGAGTAGTCAAATATTTCCTTACTTCGTTCGAGAGATGCACACGCCTCCAAACTTATTCTTTTCACTCTATTTTTCCAAGGTGCATTCTAAGTTGAACTTATTCAATTCTAGTAATTTCCCTCTCTTAGTTCGGATGAATCATACCATCACAATTTCATACTTTAATAAGCAGAGGTTCTCCTATTTTTTAATTTTTTCAACCCTTGAGATTAAATTGAGCTAGTTGTCTCGCATTAGAGATATAGTCTTATCAACCGAATGTCTGGAGCTAATCAATACATTTCATATATAAGAGTATGTATGTAATTCATCAATAGATAGATACCATTTTTTTTCCTTTTATATAACATATTTCCTTTGCTTTCTATATAACTCATGTAGCAAGCTTTAGGTCGATGACTCCCAAGTCAGATGACCATAGAGCACCAGTTTTTAAACCCTTACAGGCTTAATCACTCGAGTTATACATACTCGAACTGATGTCTTTGTTTATTCAATGATTAGTGCAATGCCCCTTTTCTTTTGGACACCCAGTTTCTATACCTACACC